TGGGCCTGGGAGGTACCCTCACCACCCGACTCCACCCTCCAAACCCAGCTGCCTTAATGGAAGATCCTCCCGGTTAGAGGATCCCCGCGCATGAGGACCTCAGGATTCACTTCCAAGTCAGGGGAGGAAGCCGGTGCAGCGTACTCTTGGTCGAGGAGATGGTCGTTCCATTTCAGACCGGCCAAAGGAGTGACAAAGGGGGGAAACTGGATGAAAACAAATTTTTCCTTCCATCCCCGGTTACTCTGGGGGACTTCGGAAATGAACTTCCTACCGGTACGGGCTTTGAAGAATACAAAACCTTCGCAGCCAATCCCGCCCGGTAGGACTTCAAAACAAAAAAGGAAAAGACGCAAAGAGGGGACGATTTTCAGATGAGTACAGATATTTACAAAGGAATGGAGATACCGGTGGGCGTTAGGGGTTATTTGGCCGGGTAAAATCCTAAACGCATGGCATACTTCGGTTAAGAGGGGGCGAAAAGGAAAAACGATGCCCGCATCCAGTGATATGGTGTGGAACCCTATCCTATCCTCCCGGTGGGGTTCAACAATGTTGGGCCAGTTAGGTTCATACAAGAGGGTATACCCATCCGGGAGCCTCCTATGAATTTTATTCAAGGCGATTTTGGATACATGGGAAGGGATGTCAAGGATGTAGAAGGTGGGGAGCGGAAAGTAACCGGCAGCATGAAGCCGCTCCTCCCACGCATCCCGGGTTTCGTTTTCAGGGTCATAGGGACCCGGTTCGTCATCAACCGGGTCATCCCTCCCCATGAAAACTTCACCGGGCATTTGATTAACAGGTTGCGGGTCGGGAATAGAGGAGTTGGGAACCTGACCGGGTGTGGAGTCAGGAGAAGAAGACCCGGTCGAGGAAGATGAGTTGGAGTCCTCAGAGGAGCAGTCCTCTGAGGACGAAATCTTATCGCTAAAAGAAGACATGACCGGAAAAGAAAGTAGAGAAGGAAGGGGAAACTTACTTGACTCGGAGGGCTGGATAACAAAAGAGAAGGAACTTGACCGGTGAAAGCTCTGAGCCTTGATCGCGGAAAGTGAACAAAGAAAAGGGGTGGAGGCCTTTATATAGGAAGAGGAGGGCTGAAAGGAGCGACGTGGCCTCTTCAGGTTGCGCCGCGTCAGGCGGCGCAATGATGACCCACTGGCAGGCGAAACGACGGGTCAGCAGCCGACTGATTGCAACAGTTGATGCGCGACACGTGGCAAAAATCAAAGTTTGAAATTCAAATTTCAAAAATTTTAGGTGGGAAGAGCCAAAATTTCAAAATTGGAGTCCTATTTCAGATTTTTTACTTCCCGCTCATGACAAATTGCATGACCGAGAAGTGGAGGGCTTATTGATGGGTGTATTCCACCCACGACCGGTCAAAGGAGAAGACCAATTAGTTGACCGGTCAATCTAGAAAGTTTTGGAAGGGAAACTTAAATTGTCAGCAAATCGATATGTGATCGGCCCAAAGATGACCGGTATACTTCACGAAAAAGTATACCGGTCAAACTACGTTGTCACCCTATTTTTCCCTAACTTCGATGATTTCATCCCACGGAGATTACCCGGTGTAGTTTCTAGGGTTGGAAAGTGTCGGCAGAAGATAATCTAAGAGGGCTTGGCGTGTAGCGACCCATGTCAGTAGAGGACAACTGGAGATGCTGAAGAATCCATCCAAGGCACTACTCGACAAAGGGAATAATCCCCCTCACAAGGCGACAAGGCAGCTCGAGGACGAAACCAGTCACCTCGCACCACATCAGCAGCATGCCCCCACGTGGGCGCACGTGGTCTTGTCCCCCATAGCCTAGTATAAATACTCATGTAAACCTAAGAAAGGTGGATCCGAATTCATTCTCTCTAAACTCCCTTGTAAAAGCACCCGTGCATTCTCCGTTATAATATAAATTGGGCTACAGGTGTTCCACCTAAAGTCCTACCGGTCAATCTGCGTGTTTTTACCTTCCTCACTTTACCGAATCAAGCAAACTATTCTAGACCCGGTCTAGTATAGTTTGACCGGTCAAGTAATTTACACCATCAATTATTATATATTCCATAAAATAATACTCCCTCCGTCCTTAATTAAACTTCCCTTTTCGTTTTTTCTTTGTCACCAAATAAACTTCTCTTTTCCCTTAAAAAACCTATTTTACCCCTTATTTTTCATACTCTACCTATCACATCATACCTTTTTACTAATAATCTACCTATCACATCTTACTTTTACACATCACATCAAGGGTATTTTTGGAAAGTCAACACAAAAATATCCCTCCCTTAAATCCTCAAAAAGTCAAAAATGGAAGTTTATTTAGGGACGGAGGGAGTATATCTTACTACCTCCGTCCCTGAGTATATGTCTAGTTTTAATTTTTTTCAGTCAACCGTTTTAAACCTTTGACATATAATTAAATTAAATATATATTCTATATTAATTAGATAATATAATTTTTGAAAGCATTTGATATAATAAATCTAATAAAACAATTTTTGTATCAATAAATAATATCATTTTTATTTAATTTAAATTCAAAGCTCACCAAATTTGACTGAAATAGTCAAAATTAGACATATTCTTATGGACAAATGTAGTATATTTTTATCAGTTTTTATTTTGTAGAGTTATTTTTTGTACATATTTTGTACAAATTTTTCTACATGATTTAGGATAAATGTTTTTTTTCTAAAATTTATGTCAAATTAAAAAAAATTGGAAGAGTAAAATATGCACTATACTTAGATAGTGAAAATTGCAATCTAATTTGATAAAGAAAGAGTGGTTGAAATTACGAAAAAGGAATAAACGGTTGGAGCGTTGCGGCCATAATGGATTTTTGTGTATTTTCAAATTAGAAAAATAAAAAAAAAGCGAAAGAAAAAGAAGACAGGCTGGACTGACAGGATTGCAGTAATGATTCGCCTTCCGATTCGGCGACCGAACTTGTCGTTTAGCGCGCCAGCTCATCCCCTCCCTCCGTTTGTTTTTGGGGGTTTTCAACAATTTAACTAAGGGCTCAAGTGCAATAAAAGTAATACTGTACGGATGAACTGTATCATTAATTAAAACAAAAACGGAAACAGAAGAGATAAATAAATATCAACTGAATCGCAGAATGCTCTCCAGCCTGTCCTTCACTTTCTTTACTTTCCTCCGTCTCCAATTTAATTATAAATTGCGGATTACAGATTAAAATTTTTTATTTTTTAAAATTATTTTATTTATAAATTGGTATATCAATAAGATATAAAAATTACATATTAAAAAATTACATCAAAAGTTCTATAAAAAAAGAGGTGACAAGAATATTTTATTTTATCAAATACTTAATGAAATCGCGTAAATAAACAAAAGTTATCGAAAAGAGAAAAAAAAATTGTAATCTATTTAGGGACGGAGGAAATATAAAATTACACTTTACTCCCTCCAACCCATTCCTCATCCGTCTTCATAATTCACGAAACAAATATTTAGTATTGGTTTTAAGATTAAGATTAGAAAATTAATATAGTATTGGTATTAGAGGAATAGGATAAGAAAATGAGGATTAGGGATATTTGGATTAGAATTGACATTAAGGACCTGTTTGGGAATAACGTTAGCGTTTTCAAAAAGCTATCTACGGGCAGCGTTTAGCGTTAGCATTTTCAAATTAATCTACACCGTTAAAATTTAATCCAAAACGCTGACGCTAATCGCTAACGCTATTCCCAAACATGCCCTAAGATTAGAATTAAAATTATCATTAGCAATAGATACATTGGTTTGAGTGAAATATGTCTTTTTTTCACATTAGCTTTTAACTCCAGTAACACTTGTGACAAGGTCTAAATTTTGGGCGTGGAGCTTGGTGCACGGAATCACCACTCAATTCATGAAAAAGTTTAGTCTGATTCTGTTACGATGCCAAGAGATAATTCTCAAAGAGACGGAGTATATAAAAAGCAAACTCTAAATTGCAAGAACATGACATTTGACGAAGTTTATGTGCGACATGTGGCGGAGCTGAATTATCACTTTTTGATAAGTAGTATGTGACCTGACAAACGAGAAGTCAAGAAACTTTGTTCCTAAAAAAATTAAAGAGAAAAAAATCTGATTTTCAAAAGAATTAAATATTTAATTCCTTTTTCTAATTAAATAATCGAAAATACATATCTAAAAACGAGAACAAAATATATATGAAACCAGACTGGCATGAGAGTTTTGTCCCAATCGGTACTTAATTCGGTACTTAGTTTTAGTCCCTATCCCATCGCCAATATGACTACGAGCCTTTCCTTTGGTAATGTCTTGGGCGTCCAAAATACTCTTCCAACAGTGACTAGGAGTCCAGCCTTTTTGAGCTTCAAGGAGCGAAGAATTAGTTAAATATCTAGCTTTGAAAACCCTTAAAACAAGGGAGTCTCGTTTGGTTTGAAACCTCCAACCCTGTTTACCCAGTATGGCTATATTAAACGTTGTACTCCCTCCGTTTTCAAAAACTCTTCCTCTTTCATTTTTTTTACTTTCAACAAAACACTTTCACTTTCTATTAAAAAACCACTTTTACCCTTACTTTTTCATACCCTACCTATCACATCATACTTTTTCTCTAATACTCAATCCATCACAACTTACTTTTACCCATCATATCAAGGGCAAAATTGGAAGTCAACTACAATTTAACACTTCCTTATTTTTACACAAAGTCAAAATATGAACACTTTTAAAAAACGGAGGGAGTAATTTGTATTTTTATTACTATGCCAATTTATAAAAAAATTAATTAAAAACAATATGATTTTTCACGACGTTCAAAACAAGAAGAATAATTTAGGATTGAAAGAGTATTTTTCCAACTTAAAAAAAGTTAAAACATTAGTATGAATAAAAAAAGTTCATGTTAGAAATTAACAACTCCCAACGGAATGAAAGATAGCTGATAAACATTTGTAAATTTTATGAGTTTATTATAATTATTTCCTGTGAATATATAATTTCAATAATGTTATCCTCGATTGTGTCAACTATAATTATTTTATGATATTTTTGAAAAAAAGGAATGGTACTACGCCCATATGTTTGCTCGGTGAAAAAAAGGAATGGTACTCCTCTTGCAATTAGAGTGAGGTTGTTGGAAAGAAAAAATGTGCTCTTAAAAGAGAACATCTCTAATGTGGAACACCTCGGTGGTTTGGAAATTATATAGCCTATATCCCTTCTGACTAAAAGGATAATCAACAAGAACACTTTTAATTTTTTTGTTGTCAAACTTGTCCTTTATATGATGGTTTGCTATAAAGCATCGACACTACTCTTAGCTCATCATATGTTGGTCCTTTGTTGTAAAAGTAGCTCAATGGGGGTCATCTAATTCAATCTTTCTACGGGGAAGATTATTGATAATGTGTGTTGCAATTAGTACACACTCCCTAAAACACCTTGGGAAAATGAGCATTAACTTTGATAGCTCTTGCTGTGTTCAAGAGATGTATGTGCTTCCTCTCCACAACTCCATTTTATTGTGAAATTTTGACCATGGACCTTTGATGAATGATACCTTTTCTTTCAAAAACTTTAGCACAAGTAGAAATCAAAAATTTTCTCCCATTATCAAATCTAACACACTGAACTTTCTTCTGAAACTATGTTTCTATCATTTCTAAGAAGTTAGAAATGATTATTTTAACTTGTTCTTTATTATGAAGTAGTTGTGTCCAAGTTTCCCTTGTGTAATTATCTACTATTGTGAGAAAAATCTTCTCACGGTAATGGTTGGTCTTATTGTGGGGGGCCCACAAATCAATATGAATGAGTTGGAAAAGAACACTAGTAAAAGAAGTGCTATGTAAAAATGTAAGTCTATTAAAATCTGTAAACATGCAAATATCATAATGGAACTTGTGATGAACATCAACATTACATTTAGATATCTTTTTCATTTTAGACATAAAAGTATGACCTAATCTAGCATGCATCAGTTCAAATGTACAAGTATTAGCAGTTATTCCATACCTCCTTTTAGACCTAGTTTTTTCCTTGTGCTCTATCGTGAACTTGTATAACCCATGACTTCTAGGAACAGTTGCCATAATTTGTTTAGTTGAAGGATCCTGAAACATGTATTTATCAGGTAGAAACACAACACTAACCTTCTTGGTATCAATCACTTTGCGCAC